AAAAAAAAAAAATAATAATAATAATAATAATAATAATAATAATAAAACATACATACACACACACTATTTACCGTTATAATAAGAAAAAAATAAGAAGGCAGCCGTTATTGAACACCGAACTTATTATTTACAGTGATAAACGAGTCAAAACAACAATTTTATATCACCCAACTCTCATTTTGCACCAAGTAAAAAACGAGACAAAACTGATGTAGTTCGCATCAAGTCCAAAACCCGGCCATGGATACTTAAAAGACATATTTCTCATATGTGTTCCAAACACATCAATCAAGTCAGCACTCAATATTCTAAGTTTCCTTCAACTAGACAAGTCGCCTTTTAATAGTCTTACTTGTCCTTTGGTAGGTTCGGACAAGCAAACCCACTCCAATCCCAACTCCGAGGCAAATCCCAAGCCCTATTCCCACTCCCACTCGAACCCCAGCGTTGAACCAAGAAAGCTCCCCGTCTTCACCTTCCATGTACTCCGTTCGTCTCCAGTACGAGGCCTCACTTTCTGGTTCGTAAATCTTGTAATCCGCAACCTGACAAATGTTAACCCAAAATAAAATAAATAAATAAATTCATGTCAGATTTATACAAGAAACACATTAATTTTACGATATGGTGCGAGCCATTGGTAGGTGCCGACTGCTTAGAAACATTTTCCTTTCTTTTCCTAATTTTATCTTTTTTATGAGATTTTTCGGTCTTAGGCTCGACATCTTTCCCAAGGTGGTTTTCACATTGATTTGGACATAATCACTCTAAGGGCACCTAACGCAGTAAAAGTTGGGAAGCAACTTAATGCAAGGTTAAAGATAATAATGTCTTTCTAAGAATCAACCTCAACGTTCCAACAAATAACCTCTCAACTGTATAAAAAGAACTCTGCCTCTAATGTAACCATAAGAAACAGCATAGCAAAAAATGCAGCTTTCTCTAAACATGCCAGTACAATTCATAGCTTATCCAAGAGATTAACGGAATCAACATTATTGAATTATGGTCATCAAGCTTAGGTATCGTGTCTATCGAGGAGGTATGGTAAAAGTTTAAAATTTCAACTCAAGATACCTTAATCCATGTTGGTATTAAATGCTAAAATATGCTTGAAATTTCAGAAAAATTCTTCATGAAAAAAAAAAAAAAAAAGAATGAAAATAAGTCTCATGGGTTCAGCATATCCTGTAGAGAGGATAAGCCACTAAAAAACGTCAAAAACTGCGGTCAGCATATCCTGTCACAATGGGACCTATGCACCAATCTCTACTATAGCAGTAGAAAAGAGACGGAAAATGAAGATAAACTTATCTCTTTAATATTAGTGCCTGCCCATGCCTTCATTACATGTTAAGAGGATAAGAACTTTTGGTATTAGAAAAAGGTTTTTCGATCCATTATGGAAAATACGACGTGTTGTATTTGTGGGTGAAATTAAAACGACAATGAGGGATCAGCAATCCAGAGCACCCCACTCAAACATTCGGTTTTTGCTCGGATCATACCAAATCAGAATTGCTGCATTTGCAGAAAAAAAGCTAAAAGAACAGTTTTCTTCATTTTTTTTTTATTTTAGTGTATTTTCATGATCATAAAGAACTTCATGAATTGATGTACAGAAGTGTTTTAAATGTAATATTTTTAAACAAGTAAAGATTGCTTGAAATTCGGTTCCTGAATGGAGATCATTCAATCCTCTGTGTCAATAAGTAAATCATTTCCTACTTTTTCACATGCAGCAGAAATGAGCATTTTCTGGAATGAGACGCGCAAAATGGCATCAGCTACTTTATTTTCCGAAAAAAAAGAGAAATAATTTCAAGAAATGAAAATACATTATTACCTGCAAATCATGGCCAGATACCACATCATCATTGGATTCTTCAGCAGCATCATACTCGGGAATTGGGTTTAGGAGCGTGCCATTTCTATGCTTCTTGCGGCTACAAACTTGTAAAGTCTTGGTCAGTATAATTGGGATTCCCGAAAAGCAGCCAGCGACATAAACTTCAATGGTGGGCACTAAAGATTCAGAACTCATGATTTGTTTTCCTTTCAAAAATCCCACACCATTACTGATAACTGATTCACAGTTCATGCTCCATTTCTTGGCCGCATTATTTGAATCTCCAGTAAATCCATTGGTACCTGAAGCACCCCAATAATGGGATATCACTTCATCTCAATATTTATTTTTTGAAACATTTCAAATCAGTTATGCAGAGCTATGTTCTGGGAAAATCGGGTGTCGTCTAATTTTTCATTATCACATTAATTACCACAGTTTTTGCAAGAAAACACTATAATCAACAATTTACTGACATGTTAAGAGAAAAACATCATAAAGTATACTACATTTAGTTAAATAAAAGGTACACAAAAAAATCATACATAAACGAAAACAAGAAAGTACCTGACATTTCCAAAACCCCAGATATAACAAGGTCCTCTTTATCGAAAACCTCAAATCTCACGCTGCCTGTGAATCTTACGCTGTCCGTGCTGACAAAAGTAGCCTCTTCGGATTTCTTATCCACCCTGTCCCGTCTAAGAATGCACGAAATCCCTTCTGACTCCATCGAACATCGTACACCGTTTACTTCAAGGACAGTGTCCGGGCTCAAAGGGACGTAATTTAAGGTGAGACATTCAGGGGTAGAGTCGTCAACGATGAATTTGCTAACTCTAACATAGAACACTCGTGTGTCGAACCAAGGCAACGAAAACATAGCATGTAGGCTACGGCCATTCAGACTCCCATTGCTATGTGAATTGTGAGAATTATCCATTTTTTCAGAACAAGATCCCCTTTAAGAGGGCATGAACCGAACAAGATGAATGAAATTTAGAAGCCCTGTATGATAGCAAACATTATACTTTCAATTGTTTTGTAAAACCAAGAAACAGAACATGTTTAGCAAGAACTAATAAGTTTCAGTCAAAATTTATATTGCCATAAACTAGAGCTACCCAAAATAACTTCAAATAACAAAGAATTATGGGCATTTGCAAGATAACGAGAAAGGCTTAGAAAATAATTTCCGTTGGGTTCGCTATACGGCACGGGGTCAAACGCAGCGGAAATTATTCTACTCTAACAATTTCATGTTACAAAATTATCATGACAAATCACAGAATTAACGCAAAAGAGGAAAAAGATGAAGAACAGGTAAAAGGCAGCCCGATTCTTGTGGCGAGGTTTTAGTTCAAAGTCGGAAAAAAAAAAACATGAAAAAAGAAGCTTTCGTCGAGCGAATACACTCCTAAATACAGGATCTCAGATCAGAAATGAAGAGAAAAACACGGGTAAAATTGTATCAACACAGCAACAATATTAAGACAATTACATTGAACCTGGACATAATAAATTATACATCTGAAACAAACTATAAAACGCCCCGAAAAATTACAATAAAGATGAAGAATAACTGAAACGAAAAGAATCAAAGGCTTTGCTTTGCATGGTGATTAAAAAAAAAATTAAGGGTTTTTACGCTGAACACTTAATAACTTACCAAGAAAATCTACGGGAAAAAGGAAGTGATTTTTCCAGGCTAACAGAATATAGCTACAAACCGAACAAACTAAAGACAAATGTTTGATTTGTGAAGTTGTTTTGCTGCAGCAAGATTCAAGCTTTGGCCCAAATTTTTTGTGGCACAGATCAATTACAAAATGCCCTTTTGTTGGATTTTTGAATCAAGAGTGAATTTTTGGAGGGTGCGTATTATTTTCTTGATTTAGTTTTCTTAGCTTCAACCTGCTCAGTGCCTTCAAAAAGCTTAATAAGATATATAGATTGATGAGAAATGTTATGGTCCCGCTTACGGTACATCCCGTCGAGTGATTTAACCGTTAAATCTACTTGTAATTAAATAAGATAGATGATTCAACGATTAAAACAATTAACGGGATAATATCGTAATGGGACGGTAGAATTTCCATAGATTATAACAGTGGTAGTAGAGTAAATATCTTTGGTATGGCAGCTATATTTCTTCTATTTCAACTCACACAAGCTTAATTTTGTGCATACTGACTAACTATATCATCATATTATACTCTTTCTATATTTTTTTTTCTTAATTTTCTGTGGGCGCTGTCCATCCTAATTCTAGATTTGAGGGTAGGAAAAAATTTGTTAATGGAGATGGGGCCCATGTTGTTGATCGACCTTATCCAGACAAGGGTTTGCATTTTACGAGGTCGGTGACATGAAATTGAAACTATGAAAGTAATGTTTTACTAAATATATTTTAGCTGATACACAAAAAAATCCAGAATTTTAAATAAAATAGTCGCTGAATTAACTTTGATTAAATGCCCACACGCCACATGCTCTTCAATTTTTCTTCTTAAACTCTATACTCTCAGAGAAGCATGGACTTGGATTTTTTTTTCCACTGGCCCAAAACTATTGTCTTAATTAAACTATACTACTATTTTATTTTATCTCTCTCTTATAAAAAGGAAGTGCCTTCCTATCTATCTGACACGTATCTCTTTAATTTGGTGAGGCCACGTCACTTGGGTTCAAAACTATTCCAATCCGTCAATTTTGTAATGTTTTCAACTTAAAGGACTATTGGTTGCACCCGGTTTTTGGAGCAGTTTAACATTTTGTTTTCGGTCTTTTTTCCTTTTATAAGAAGATATTTTTTTTGTACAGGAACTTTTCGGTTTTCGAATCCACAGGGGAACCGACTAATTGAAAATCGAGCCGAATAGGACCACAAGAGCGGCAAAGCTCTCCCTCAAAAGTTTTAACACTGCTGCATTCCCAGTGCTCGAACTCGAGACCAATGGTTAAGCTGGAAGAGACCCAAACCATCTCATCCAAGCGCTCTTGAATTTTTATAAGATATTCTTTTGAACTTTGATTCTTCAACAAAGTTATTATTATATTTCTTAGGGCTCCGCACAAAAGGAATTAGCACAATATCTATTTTATATTAATAGATCATAGATGTACTGTAATTTCGAATGTCGAGCTATCAATTTTTTGAACTCTTAGGGCATCCACATTGGTTTAACATTTTTCTCATTTATTTAATCAAAAAGTTATACTATCTCTCATCCATATCATTTTTCTACTAAATCTCTCTCCATTTAAACACACACTCACATTCATACTCAATCATTTAAATACATATGTGGGACTCATTATCCACTCATTCAATATAATTTTTTATATTCTATCCACAATAATAATAAATTTTAATACTTTTAAATTATAACAATAAATGTTAAATACATGAAAATAAAAAAAAAACACTACAAGACCAAAATAACATAAATTAAAATTACACAAGAAAAAAAATAGTACAACTACAAAAAAAAATATTTTTTTAGTTGTTGGCAAAATGAATCCAAATATGCTCAACTAAATCTATATTGTGAAATGTGATATAGATAAAAAATAAATTAAATATAAAAACAAAAAGAAAAAAATTAAATAAAAATGATTTAAAAAAATAATAAAGAAAGCAATAAAGAAACAAAAAAAAAATAAAGCATTGAACGCCAAAATGATAAATAAAAAATGATTTCAAATCAAAAAATAATAAATAAAGCAATAAAGAAAACAAAAAAAGAAATAAAGCATTGAACGCCAAAAAGAAAAAAAAATTAAATAAAAAATGATTTTGAAATTGAAACAAAACCATAAAAAAGAAAGCAATAAAGAAAAAAAAAATTAAGGGGGCGCTTGTTTATGGATTTTTTCGACCAAAATATTTCATTTTGTTAACTATAGTTAAAGTTGAAAAGGTAATGTGGTTAATTGTTAGTGGAATTTAAAAAAATATATTAAAATAATATTTAAAATAAAAATAATTAAAGTTGATTTGATATAAAGTAGGAGATAAATGATTGGAAATGATTGGTAGTTAAAATTATGTGAGTGGATGAATAGTGAATTAAAGTTGATGTGATGTGTAAGAATGATTGGTTTTTATTATTTAATTGTATGAATAATATTAAAGATAATGGGGTTGAGTTAAAGTTGAGTTAAATATTTGAGTTGAAAAAATTGGATTGAAAAAATCCATAAACAAGCATGCCCTAAGGCATTGAACGCGTTCAGCAGAGTGAACGCTTAGTGGGCCCCCCTTTTAACGGATGAGCCACATCCGTATTAACATGCGGGTGGGCGTTTAAACGGCCAAAGAAAAGAACCGATGCAGATGCTCTTAGCCGAGCCTTGATTTAGAATCTAATTAATTAAAGAAAAATATTATATTATACATTATATTTATGTTAGACAATTTTAACATGTATATGTCAATAAGTCGAATTCGTGAGAGGAGTATCGACCATTTCATTCCTTTTGCATTGGACAATTCGAGGTGGGAATATTCTATACAATTACTCACTTTAATTTCATGTTATCATTATAATTGTATATACATGCCATAGGGTCTTCAGGCAGAATGATAACAGGTCTACGTGCAGAATGGCAAAGAGCCTTCGGGCAAATGGCAAACGGCCTTTGGGCAAATATATGTTCATGAGTCGACGGGCCATATCTATTGGGTGCATTAGAGTCGCGCGATCGCAATGTTGAGTTGTCTCGAAATATATACAAGGGCCGAAGGGCCATATAACTAGTGCACTAGAGCAGCGCGAAGACATGTTCATGGATGTTAGTGTTATTTTTGTTATGTTTTTATTAATATTTTTTATTATTATTTTTTATGTATTTTTAGTAATTTTGTGGGATTTTGGGTAGTTTTTAGTTTCTTTGAGTAATTTGTAATATTTAAGTATTTGTGTGGATTTTTGTATATATTCTTGTATTTTTCAAGTATTTGTAAAATAAAGAAATGGTCGAAAATCTCGGAAGAGCAGGATTTTGGAAATTTATTGGGCATGATCATATTAATGGAAAGAGGAGCTCGTTAGCAACACACAGGAAAAAGCAGAACTCGATTTCGAGTTCGGATGAGTTCGTACAGGACCGAAGTGTAAAATCGCGAAAGTTACCAAACCTTTTAAAGGTTGAAAACCCCACATAATTTGTATTCTGGGCAAAAGTGTGATTTTCAAGAACCATTGGATAGAGGGGTTTGTTAGCTACGCGTAGGAAAAAACGGAACTCAATTCCGAGTTCGGACGAGCCCAAACGAGCCCAAAACGTGAAGCCGAGCAGTGCAGTCCGCGAGAATTTTCTGCGCTCGGAAGTTGCGGCCGTGGACCCTTTAGTTTGCAGAATTTTTTTCTTTTTCTGGTTTTTTCTTCCCTTTTCTTCCATTTTTTTTTCTTTGGTAGTTAAATTGTGGTTGATTTTTAGGTGAATAGTGGTAGATGTTGGTGAAGTGTGTTTGATTATATTTCTATAAATAGCTAGATCATCCATCATTCAAGGGGGCGGGGGGAAACATTTTCTATGTAATTCACTATCATTTTATCTTTCTATATGTATTACATTTGTAAGTTGATATTGGTAAGTTTGAATTGTTGGAGAGTGTTGAAGTTAAAGGACATTAAGTTTGCATTTACTCTGTGGATTGATCGTCAATAGTAAATTTTCTTTTCATTTATGTTATCAATGGCTTATATCCATAAGAATTTGTATGTTAAAATTACTATGAGTAACTAATCTCCTAACTAGGGTTAGGGGATAATCGTTTCAGTTTATTACTATTTATAAGTATTTTTATTACTCAATCTTTACAAATTTTATTAATCTTATGGTTAAATGATTGATCACCATTTTAATCTACATAATCGATTTCAAAACCGAGAGGGGCGAATTTGATAGAACTTGATTTGTTTAGAATAGACATGT